CAGCTATCTTCCTGGAAAAATCTGAATAGGCTCCAGAATAGGGTAAACAGTCCTGAATCCCTGGCCAGCAACAAGTGACCGAAAGGCAGAAAATTAATCAACGATGTACTCAAAATAGGTGCCAGAAGTGGTTGCCAAAACTCAGCTGGTCACTGCAAAGTAGTGACTCAAAATAAGATTGTTGCATTGTGAATATTACCAACTTAAACAGCAAATATGCATGGACCCAGAAAAAAAAAAAACAGAATGATGCAAAAGAGGTAAGAATTAGAATTCAGAAGAAACTGTAGCATAGCAAACCAAACTCAGCTAAAATACACAAGCAAATTATAACGCCACAGAAAAAGAGTCCAGTAGGAAAAAGTCAAACACTCAACCTGCAAAAAGCAGGATGTCCAGTGGAAAACATTCAATAATTAAAGAAAACTCTCCTGAAAAACAATACATAATTCCAGCTTAGTATTCATGCAGACCAAAGAAGATTCCTTTCAGAAGCATTTCTCCAAATAGATACTTAGCTGTCAAGTTTTTAAGACGCAAGGACTAATAAATATTTGAGAAGAATTTCAACTGCAGACACTGCTGCTCCAGACCGAGAAGGGAATGAGAGGATGCCCCAGGATAAAGAGCCACTCCTACAAGTGTAGCATGCTTACAAGTTGACCTTCAACAGACTAATCCAGTGATTCACCTGTTCATTCATTGTCTCAACAAACATTAACCGACATTTGTTACATAGCCATCTTTCTGTTTATATGCTACGTACAAGGTAGTGAACAAAACAAATCCCTTCTCAGTTCCCAAGCATGCAACCAAGTAAGGGAGACGAATACTGAAAGTAAACACGTAACGAAGCAATTACAGGTTGTAATAAACATAATAAAAAGGTAAGGAGGACTCAGTGAAAGAGAATAATTGGGTGAGGGGGCTCTAATTTAGATGAAGTCCATGGAAGACCTTCAAGAGAAATGTTCTTTAAGAAACCTGAGACCTAGAAGCTGAGTAAAGGTTAGCCTGGTATAGAGGAGGTGAAAGAGTCTTGTAGGCGGAAGACAAGCGTGATCGAAAAACCTGAGGTGAGAACGAGCTGGAAGCATTTGAGAAACTGAAAGGAGGTCCCAAACAGGCCATGAACAGAAAAATCTAGAGTAACTCACTCATGGAGGGACCACATATCTATGGAAAGAAATATAGATGGTTTTGTGTGTGTGTGTGTGTGTGTGTGTGTGTGTGTGTGTGTGTGTGTGTGTTTTGAGATGGAGTATTGCTCTGTCTCCAGGCTGGACTGCAGTGGCACAATCTCAGCTCACTGCATGCTCTGCCTCCAGGGTTGAAGTGATCCTCCTGCCTCAGCCTCCCAAAGTACTGAGATTTTTTTTTTTCTTTTCAACAGTACTTTATTTTATTAAAGCAGTTGATTCTTCCTCTGTTCTGCATCTTGATTCACTTCCTGCAGGTGCTCTCTTGAGAGAGAATTCATAAATGAAGGAAGGCCTTTGCCAGAAAACATCTTTAATAAATAAAGAGAACTCTGGTTCTGGGGAGGTTTGATAACGTTTCTGGCATCTTCCGAACTTTTGCATAATTGATAAATCCTCTGAGAAACAGGAGAAAGCCTAAAACCAGGAACACCCACCAGAGCCAGTACTGACCATCAAAATATCCAGGAAAATAGGTGGAAAACCTGACAAGCAGGATCCATTTAATTAGAGAGAGACCAAATCCTGAAATGGCCCCATACCTTCCTGCAGCTGAAGTGGTCAGGCAAAAAGACAGGAAAAACCCAATCCAGTTAAAGAGGAATGCCATGAAAAAAGTTAACATGAAAATCCCATCGTTTCCTATCCTCAGCTGATCAGCATCACGGAAATCATCCCGACCCACAAAATCCTCATCTCTTCCAGGAGCCAAAGGGATAGTAGCTTCAGCCTTGGTCCTCTCCGCTTCATCATAACTGGGCAGTGTTGCAGCCACATTGTAAGATGGGGGCTTTGGAAACCCAGACTCATCCTTGTAGTGAAAATATGCTGCGCTTTCTGCAGAAATGCTGCTGTAAGGTGGTGCAGCACCACCTGCAGCCTGTTCAGGTTCTCCAGACTCTTCATTCTGCAACTGCTGGTACCTGCTGCCGCAGGCCGGCTCGACCGCCGCTAGCGCCGCCAACGCCAACGCCATGGCGCAGCGGGCAGCAGGGAAGGAGAGCGAGCGAGCGAGCTGAAGGGGCGCGGCCGCTGAGGCCTGGGAGCGCTGGGAGGCCGGGGTGGGGTCGCGCCTTTGGGTGGGTCTCGGTGGCCGCCGCCGCTCCGGAGCGAGACGCTCTCCTCAGGCCGCAAGCTCCGCCGCCTCCGAGGCTCCGACGCTGCCCCTCGGGAAGAGGCGGGGACGACGACGGCCTCTCCTAGAGGGGCAGCGACACCTGTGTGTATGCGCCGACGTTCGAGACCCCCCTCGTCTGCCACCCCCACTCCTTGCTAGTGTACCCAGCCCTACCGGGAGCCCTGCAGCGGCGGTGGTACCAGGTGGAACAGGACCTGGCTGACGAGCTGATCACCCCCCAGGGCCATGAGAGGTTGCTGCAGACACTTTTTGAGGACGCCGGCTACTTAAGGAGCCCAGAAGAAAATGAAGCCCACAAGCTGGAGGGAGGTCCTGATGGCTTGGGGTTTGAGACCCTGGAAAACAGCAGGAAGGCTCATAAAGAACTGTCAAAGGAGATGAAAAGGCTGAAAGGTCTGCTCACCCAGCAGGGCATCCCCCACGCAAAGCCCAGGGAAACCTCCAGCTTGGAACACTTCCGCCACAAGATGCCCAGACCGGGGCCTGCAGAGCAGCTGCGGGGCGACCCGGGCCTGCGTGGGAGCTTGTGAGCCTTTGGTGTGAAGAGCCCCACAGAGAAGCCGGCCAGTGGGAACCCCCAGGGACCAGCCGGCCAGGCTTGTGCTCAGAGAAGCAGACAAAACAAAGATTCAAGGTTTTAATTAATTCCCATACTGATAAAAATAATTCCATGAATTCTGTAAACCATTGCATAAATGCTATAGTGTAAAAAACTTAAACAAGTGTTACCTTTAAACAATTACTACAAGTAAATGATTATGCATTATAAAAAAAATGTCATGAGACGCTGTGTCCAACCTAGTCTTACCAGATTTGTGTACTACTCATCACCATATCATTCATCAAAGAATAGTAATCCAGGCTACATTTCCTTAGTGGATTAAAAATCTCAAAAAATGAAGGCAGAGAGAAAGCTCTAAAATTTCACAGAAATGTATCATCAGTGCAAAGGGCCAGAAAATAATTGCAGAAAACAAAGGAGGGTATGTGAGAAAAGAATTTTCCTCTTTAGGCAAAGCCACATATAGAGAGGACAGAAT